GAAACCGTGCAGCCACCGTCAGCACAGGGAGAAAAACAAATGAGAAGTAGATCGCATTGTGACCCCGAGTCCTGACAATTCATTAAATCACCGAGGATGTGACTTGTTACCTCTCTAATGAAGCCAGCAAAACCCGAGTTTGAGTCTCGCTGGAGGTGATGATCTTGTCAAACTCGGGCTCCTGATTCTCAGCTACGATCAACATCACTGGCATATCATATCAAATCGCGTCATGGTGTTTGCCGAGGTTGAATCAGCTTTCACAAAAAATGCTACCTGGTGCAGTATGTAAAACTATCAGCACTGGGGAGACAAAGGTGGACGCCACTCTCTCTCTCGTTGCACCATTTCGGTTTTAATAGGATCTCACGAACAGCACTTGTCCTAACAGTTGCAAAGGCTACATTAGAGGATATTTTCCTTTGTTGGTGTGCGTATGTGTGTTTGTGTGTTTGTCACCTCTCATCTTGTCCCAGAGTCTGGTAGCTGTTGCTGGCTGCTGTAACTCAAGTCACTGACTTCTCAAATCTCATCTTTAAACGTCGCTTGTAAAAATGCCACTCATTTCTATTTTTTAACGGAAATCAAGAGGCTAATTAAACTCTGCAACACCCTCCTGGCCTTAGACACTGAGGCTATTAATATAGATCCGGTATATATAACCAAACAATTATTTGGTAAATGAATGCCCGATGCGAACCTCAGGCGAGCACATGGGTTTTAGCGATAGAACGTGAGCGGATAACCGATGACGGATGGAGCCACGTTTCGTGTCAAGGTGCCAGCCATGCACGCACCCGACCCAACTTCACGCTCGGCACTAACAAGAGAGCAGAACGAATCAAACCGTTCACGAGAGCCGATACCCAAACGATTCTCGTTCTCACGTGCGACTCAAGGAGTGTACCGAAAAGGCTTGAAGCCGGCTCGCTCAGCTGCAATTAAGGAAAGCCAAAGATACGAATTTAGTGTTAAAATATTAACGTAAATTAATGATATTTACACACTGGCGCAGTCGCGCCGACCGGCTGGCCGTGTGTGGCGGGGTAAAGTGTGGGTACTCCCACCTCTTCCGAGACGACGTCTGGCCGTGGTGGAAGAGAAGGCCAAAATACCCCGGAGCAGGAGCCTCTCCAGAGCTCCATCCGAGCAGAGGAGGTCCTGCCAACGGTTGGCCCGGACGAGCAATTGCAAGAGCTGCACCTTTACTCTGTGCATGCTGAGAATTCAGGTGACCCCAGCCACTTGGGAGTTATCCAGCCGGGCAACGGTGGCTGCTGATGATGACAAAGATGAGGCAGCGCATGTGCACACATTGCGCCGATGTACACCACTAATCCCCGTCGCCACGAGCTTCTCATTATGAGTGTGCTAACAGCTTGTCCAGCGCCGACTCAAAGCACCCCCCCCCCCAAACCTCATCATTAACACGACCCTCATTAACAACATCGATGATGAGAGAACAATAATAACAACAATGATAGGAAATGTAAGGTCAAAGTTGAAGGAATTAGAGCACCGCGAAAGAGTAGGCCACGTTTCTCTCGAGTGAAGGCTCTTCCGCCGGCAGTGGCGTGAGCAAGCATTTGCAGGGCTGCACCTTTACCTGAAGTTGATCTGGTCAGGTGGCACTCCAAGTTCAACCCACCATCATCATCATCATCATCTCCCTGTGGTGGATAAAATGAGTCCCACTCTGCGGGAAGCAAAACAGCGGTTGACCTATGGACATACTCGACCCCGTCACAGAAATGTAGAATTTCCACCACTGGCTCAGGGTCACCGATGGAGATGAGTTGGCTAAGGGCAGGAAATGCGAGCCAGCTACCGTGCACAGGGCACGTATGACGAAGAACACAAGCAGCCCATGTGTACATCGTCACAAGCCACGTATGATGCATCTACATTTGAACATGCATACATGTGCATATACATACGCATCTGCATATAACATGTCCGTGCATTACGCTGTGGGGTTTTTTCAATTCAACGCAGCCCCTACACCAGCAGTGACCAACGCCACTTATTCACGACATTGTCTCTCTTCCGCCAATCCGCGGGATCCGTGATTAAAGTTTAGTTTAATGTGTTTTTAACTCGTAATTTATTTTACGAGTTAAAAACACTGTCAACATGCGTGGGCATAATTCACGGTGTTTTCTTGGCAAACACGTCATTTTTATCAGATTTGTGGAGTTAAAATGTACCGATGTCTCGATCAACGGTAATTATGTCAGATATTTTGTCTAAAATATGATGCTATGTACGTCACTTTTACAATTTCATCTTCTTTTCATATATTTATAAATGTTAGCTAATTATAATTTTATTCTGGAAGGGTGGTCAGAACCACTTGCAACAATCGTCCAAACTCTGGGGTTATATATTGGGATGTTTGGCCATTAGTGTGTGTACATAAATCAACAATCTCATTTTCACAGCAAAATTCCAACATGCACTTTTTACGATTTTATTTGTAATAATTAAGGATTTATTCCACAATTACTCAGTTTCAAGTGTCATTTATAGTTAATTAGGGTTTGAAATTAAAACATTGTTGAGCGTTCTGATTATGATCTCCTTGTGAGCAAATCGCTTGGAATTGAATGGAAATTATCACTGAAATATTCAAGATGCACATGTGTGAATATAAAGTAATTACAATTTAAATATAATCTAATTTTAAATGTAGACTCTCACGAGCAATACAATTCATAATTAGTCTATTATGCGTTTAATCATTATATCTGAACGATCTAACCCCAAAAATAAACTAAATATGAAAATAAATCATTAAAGTTTAAATTAACTCTTACGATTTTTAACCCTCCCATAGTCTTATAAACCAACGTGACATTATCTCCCCGTATATGTAATTTTTTCACTCAAACTAACACCACAAATGTAACGCTACAATGGATTTAATTTCAGCGGAAACGATGTTTTTGTAATAATACTATCAATAATCATTCATCCCACGAATGGAATTGGCCAAACATCCCAATGTAGTAGGGACCCTCATGTAAACGATTATTGAGTCTCAAGTGAGGCTTTCCTGGATAAATTAAGTGCAATATTATTAATCACGATATATTATTAATTACGATTATTATTATACACACCATATTAAGGCCTAGTTTGATGTTTAGTGACAACCCAAAGTGGTCAGTGTTAAACCTGCAATTGGTCAGGAATAGTACAAACACGGTAACTATCACGGCTCTCACCAATCTGTAAATCACGAGAAGGCACCATCGTAACAGCATAAGAGTGCAGCCTAGAAAAATCACAAGTTTCAAACAACTCACAGTCCATTGTGCCTATGCAAAAAAACACCCATCAGCAGTTCCCGAAGAACTGCATTGTGATCTCTTGTCTGAGGTCATTTTCGTGTCTTGTTTGAAACTTACAACAGTTCTGCATTAAACTGTTACGCTGTGTCCCACAGCAAAAAAAAACCCGGCTATATGCAGCACTCGATTCCATTTTACCCTGCAATGTGTCTGACCAACGTCAACATTCCCTTACATTGGGGTCTCCCCCGGGGCATGCGACGATGGCTAAACGAGAGACGTGAAAATGAAATTTGGCGGCTGCGTCACCGGGTGTCCGTTGACCCCCTACAGCTAAGGGCACCCACCCCCTCCTCTCGGCCAGCCCGTGGAGTGAACCTCGTCTCCCCCACGTCACAGACCACAGCGCGCGTCCACCTCCAGCCACCTCCACGTGCTCACATTCCACCTTCCAGACCCGACACCGACTTCTGCATCATCTCGCATCGTGTGGAACACGCCGTGCCGCCACGCGCGGGCACCCTCCCCACCTCCACCCACCGCTCCCTGTGTCCTGTCCGACCGCCGCCGCCGCGTACAGACCTCACGGACGAGTGGAAACCTGGGTTCGATCCCTGGGACTTTGGGTGTGATATGTGTGTGGATATCTGATCCTGTCCCTGCCCTCCCCCTAGGTCGACTGAGCCTTTTTAAATCGGGAGCCTGCACGGCTGCGGTGTGTAATGCATCGGCGCCGATGTGTTGACCCCCCCCCCCCCCTTCCTCGGATGAGTTCCAGGGTTCGATCCCCGAGGCTGGTGTGTGTTTGTCTCTCGGTTTCCCTCGCTCTGTCTCTCTGCGAATTGATGCTTGTGTCAAGACAATGGACTGGCACCCATGAGGCCCTGGGTTTGATCCTTGGGCCTGGGCGCTTGTCTCTCTTCGTCTCTGGGGGCATTCTGACCGTTCTCGTTCACTGTGCCAGCACTCCTCAGCCGCTGGGTTCGAACCCTGGCAACTGCTGGGAGTCTCTGCCCTGTGTACGATTCGATTTGTCCGATCCACTGCTGGATGAGGGCCTCTCCACGCCTGTCCGGGCCGTGGGAGTTTATTTGACCATACTTCACCGCGCACTGCTCAGTGTGGGATGGTGAAGGCGGGCAGCATAGGACACGGGAGCATAGAAGTACATGGCAACATGGGACTTTGCCGCACCGTTATCTCGTTCCCACAGCTGCACAGCCTTAAACAACCTGTTTGTGCGTGTTGCTACGCCTATCCAGGCACTATCCAGGCTCAAGGCTGCTTAGCTTCCGAGATCTTATTAAATCGAACGCATTTTGGGTGATTTGGTCACAGGCGTATCATTACTACTACTACTGTATTGTTATCATAGCGGACATATCATTGATTAACGCGAGAGACGTGATTAATGCCGTTTACTCAGCATAATTTTGGGAGTAATGTCGTTTATTTTAAATACAGCACCAATCGAGTTTGATTTATTTGGGAATCTATTGATGTTCTCAAACGGAACAATCGCTGTGAAGAGCGCAGAAGATGTTTTGCAAACTGCGCGCACGCCTATGGATGTACACGAGCAATGTTTCGTTTGTAATGAATTTGCCGTGCTCGTGATATTATTTTTTTTTGCGTGAAATGTAATAAAATGTGCAATTACTGCATCCGCACACGCATGCACGCGCTCGCACGCACACACACACACAGGCGGACACGCACTCCTAGCGTCCACTACTCGTCGAACTTTCCCGTGCGGTATTCTGGAGGATTTGTGAAAACCCATCGCTTCTCAGTGAAGGCCACCGCACTTTCTGGGAGGCTCAAGCGAGACACGCGTCGCCGCTGGCAGCCTCGCGTGATGGGAGAGAGCGCGGGATCGGAATTAAAACAGAGATGGGGAGCGCGCGCACGTGCCCGTGCGTTCAAAACAAGAAGCACTCCCCCCCCCTCCACCCCACGCGGGAGAGGGGAGTTTAGCAATCATGTGGCGCGTGCAGCGCGTGCATGACGAGACGCTTAAACGCGGAAAAGAATGCCGTGGGGTGGGCCACGCGGACTGGAGCTTGAGAAAAATCTGCGCTATTCAACGTTGATAAGTAAATAAACAAAGCAGTCATCATCGACAACACTGCCTTGTAACGTAAGTTGTATGACATATATGAGTTTGACGTTTCTGGGAATGGCTCTCCTGCAATGAATCAGGGTGATCGCCAGAAATATCAACGCGAACTTCAATATCTTTGTTGTTATGCGGGCCAATGTCCAACTACCAATCAATCAGTCTCGTCACTTTGCGGTCGCTGCAATAAGTAACACATGGGTAAGACAAAAAGTCAACCGGTGATTGTTCTTTAGTTCGTCAAGGAAAAAGGACTGGTCCTCGGGCACAGGAACGCTGAGTTTCCACAAGATCTTTCCACGGAGGCGAGCGGCACCCGGCACTCCAATCTGAAGATGGCGAGACTTGAATTTGTGACTTTGAGCAATCGCGCCTTCTCCGTTGAGGAGGTGGTTGGAGGGCAGCTGTCGGGGAATAGACTTGTCTGCGGCTTTGTCGAAATGAAATGTATATATATATTTGAAACATCATATTTATTTTTATACCGAGACACCAATGTTGAAAATGAACGATACAACTGTGGCATGCCGTCGATGTTCATGTGGTGACATGTTCAAGACATGTGGTGACATGTTCAAGAAAATAAATTGACCTCTTGTTCGTCTCTTCATGCACATAATAAATGGTTTATTTGTTTACTTATATAAACTGTGCCACCTGCTCTATCCACTGCTGGATGAATGTCTCCCCATGCTGCGTCAGTCATGGTGGGGATGGGTGTGATAGTTTGACCCATAATACTTCACGACGCTACTCAGTGAGGGTCGGTGAGATGGAGGTGAATAGGGACCGGTTCAGATCGAACTTTGCCCCTGACGTGAGCTGTGGCTGGGAGTCCAACCCGGACCTCCGGGTTAATAGCATAGTTGTGCGAACCACTTCACCACCACTCCATGTACGCAAACATTTATATTTCTGTGACCCTTGGAGCCTTTTCAGACCACTATCATCCAGGGGAGTGCAGTGGCTAGAGAGTGCAGGGCCCACTTAGCAGTGAACCCAGCAGCTACCTGGGGTTGATTCCCCGGCCATGGCTGACATCAGTGTATGGAGTAGATTTCTGAACACGACACCAACTCGCACTGCTCAGCACGGCGAATAGTGATCAAACAACCGCCTTTAGTTCGACATGCTGTGGGGGGGGGGGGGGGGGGCTTCGTCCAACAGTGGATTGACCATGGCTGATAATGATGCGGCCCACGGACGTAGTGCTTTCTGTTTAACGCGTAGGCTTTCACATTAACTCCGCTCTGGTCTTCGGCGCCTGATGGTCTCACAGTGATTACATCACCTCTATTGCAGAGCGAAACAGGAAGACTTCTTCACAATTCTGGCAAATCGCCTGATGAAGCTGGTTGTAATCACCAGCGAAACCTCGTACTCTTATTGTAAATGTTGTGTGTTTACTCTCCAACACACCGGTGTGTTGGAGAGTAAGTAGCAACTAATTGGCACGTTGTGTTTACGCAACTAACTTTACTAATTGGCTGAGTCGGGTGGTGGTGGGTTAACCACACATTTATATCTACGCGATCTAACCTCCCCAAAACAGCCTTTGTTGTGGTAGTGCTTTCTGCGCGCCTCGTGCGAACGCTGCCGTTGCAGGATTCTATGTTTGTGACGAGAGGGAGATGGGCCTCAAGTTTGGCCAGCGCCATCCACAAACACTGGGAGAGGAGTTGCAACAGCTTAAGTTTCATTTATTAGGTATAGCCCTGTGAACCATTCGGCTCTTGAATCGGGTGCAACCGCAACAAAAAAAACATGAACAAGAAAACATCTTAAAGTGACTATGTGCAAACAGAAAATCCAAGAAAAGACAGCAAAATATTGCAGAAAAAGCACCGTACACCAACGCTGTGTGCAAAAATCCCAGTGGGATGCAAGTCAAACAACAACAACCACAAGACAACTTAGATTAAGGCCATCAGTCTAACTCTGTACTACAACAAACATGGCCAAACCGAAAAACTTTTCAAAAATCACCAAAATCTCCGGCAAACCAACCACACCTCACACACCACCGTGATGTTACGGTGTTGAGACCAATTAAACACCACCGAGGACAAACGCACGTTGAATAGAGTTCATACGTGCTCCTTGCATAAGAGTGTTTTTTTTTATCTGCCTTGTTTCATTTGCATTCATTATTGCGTTCATTGCTGTGTTCCGTGCACCTGCGGTTGGTATCTGCAGGCTGGCTTACGGACAATAAATATGTAGGAATTATAATTAACTGTTCAAAGTGGCATTGCTAATTAAAAGGCTCAACCGCCAAATCCTCCTAAAAATAATGTCTCGTGTGGCAGCAGTGAGGTCTTTACGAGCACTCATTGCGTTAGCGGGACGAGCCACTTAGTTTGCTGGCCGAACGAGACGGAGGCACTTAGGCGATTTAATTTTAAATCATGATTGCTCCACGTGTGTGTCTGGCCAAAAATAATCAATAGACGCGAACATAGAATAACAAAAGAAATTAATGCCACAAAAGCTCAGCATCGGATTACAATTCACTCCACTGCTGGATGGATGGATGGAAGGCCTCTTTCACGACTCGACGCTGCTCAAACCACGCCGGTCACTGCGAGTTGGCGAATGCGAGGAACGTGGAGGTACGGTTCAACAGTTGATTGTCCTGCAGTTGCGCTGTGTTGCCCACCACGTGGTGCCCTGCAGTCAGTAGCCTGTTGTGCACTTTATTGAACCGCCTTTGATCGAATCACCGGGCAACGACCGCCCCGGTCTCATAAGATCTCGGAAGCGAAACAGGTTGAGCCTGAATAAGTGCCTGGATGGGCGACCACCAATATGCATAAAACAGGGGCTACATGCGGCTGCTGCTGCTGCGAAGCTACGTTGTCAGCAGAAAGCAGCGCAGAAACAAATCCCTCGGTTGTACTGTATAATGTATCAGCGTCTATGCTCCCAGACCAAAAGGGAGGTGCAGTTTGGTCAAATAACCTTGGACCGACAAAGAGTCGTAAATTGTCAAAGTTATTTTATTAATATGTGGGTAGTTTATTTCCGTGTTTTGTTGCATCACAGGATCGAGGCTTGGGGAGGCCTTCATCCAGCAGTGGATTGACCATGGCTGATGATGATGATGGGTAAGTTATCAGGCGATAGCTTGTATTGCGATGGAGAATTACTGCGTTTGTGGAGGAATTTTTGAGGTGAGATTCGGGGTGAGAGGCGAGGCGTGGGAGGTTTCGTGTGTCCTGGAAATAACGTGGGTGGATGATATATCGTGCCACGTATGTAACAAGGTAATAAGGTATGGGGGAAAATAAAATCGCATTCCCAAAGCTCAAAAAATTTACAGCATACAAAATATTAATCATATCTGTAAGTGACGATAGAATCCATCACAATATAATGATAATCCACGCTGGGAAACCAACATATGTACAAAGTACACAGCCCCTGTGTATTATGCAAACAACTGAATAACTGAATTTCGATTTAAAGCTTTCGTGACTGCAGGGATTTATATTCTTGGTTCTTTCGGTAAAGTCACGTAGAAGGGAAATAATAAAATAAATTCCTCACGACGTTTCGATTGCAACACAAGCAATCATCATCAGGTGTGAAAACCACAGCAAGATTTTTTTTTTAAAACCGTCACCTTTTAAAAAAAAATTCTAGCTGTGGTTTTCACACCTTATGATGATTGATCGTGTTGCAATCGAAACGTCGTGAGAATTTAATTGTTTTATTTTTATTATTTTCCTTCTACCTGACTTTACCGAAATAACCAATAACTGAAGAACTGCATTGTGGTCCTTCATGCCTTCGGTCATCAACAACATGAATGTGAGCGACTGACGGGCAGCAGTGAGCCGGAGGATAGGCAACTGCGGACCGGTGTCATTGTTCTTCTTGATTCTTTCGGTAAAGTCACGTAGAAGGAAATTAATAAAATAACAATAAAAAAACATAATAAAATATTTTATTTTAAAATAATAAAAATAAAACATAATAAAATATTTTTTTAAATTGTTTTTTTTTTTATTATTTTCCTTCTACGTGACTTTACCGAAAGAACCAAGAAGATGAATCCCTGCAGTCACGAAAGCTTTAAATCGGGTGTCATTGTTATTAGGACTCATCAGCACAGTGCAGTCACCAATGCCTACTGCCACGAGCACTACATTCACTTGCCGCTGTCAGTCGGTCGCATTTTGCTCAAATTTATTTTGACGGCGACCTCTGAGAAGAGGACCACGCAGCCCTTCAGGAAACGTTAATGGGGTTTTTGTTCCCATAATGCACGGGGGCCTGAGTGCTTTGTACGCATGTTTGTGCCTTGTTTGAAACATCGTTTTCCAGCTTGCATTGTCATTCTGTTATGATGGGGTTTCTCCCCCTCATCATTTATTGATTTGATAAATGTGACATGCTACTGCTGGGTGGACAGAGGCGGGGGGATTTAAGCAACTTGAAGCTGTCGATGGGCTCGGAGAAAGAACAACGAAAATCGCCAGGGGACCCGACCGCTGAGTGGATCCCAGTTCTTCCGAGTTTCCCAGGACAGAGTGGATGAATGGGTGTGCGGATTTTTGTGGTGCAAGGCCGTAGGCATGGAGTCAACATTGGGGGGGGGGGGCAAATCTTCCAGAGGGTCTGGGGATCCCCCCCCCCCCCCCAGAAAAAAAAATCTAAATTTGAAAACTCATTTCCTGCCTAAAATATAAAAAAAATTCACTAACACATAGGAAGGACTTTTTATTTATGTTTTACAATAATGTCTAATAGTGTATTTATTATATTGCTTTCTTTTTTTCTTTTTTTACCTTTTCTTGTTTCATTGTATGTAATAACAGAGATTAGGCATGAATAAAGTACAACCATAACCACAACCATATAAACATGAATATATATATTGGGGGGGGGGGCATTTTGAGAATATTTGATGTGGTGGTGGTGAGGGAAAGTGTGGGCAACAGACGAGGCAGTTGTCGGGAAGACTTGATCTTCTCTGGTTGCATCTAGAAGAGGAGGCTGGGCCTTTGCGTCCATGAGGTAAGGGGCTAATTTGAGCAGTGCCGTGGTGTGTCTTCCTGTTTTGTTGTAGGGAGCGGTGGCGCAGTGGTTAGCGCGCTGCGCTACGAACCCAGCGACCCGAGTTCGATTGCCGCTGCTGACGACCAATAACGGTGGAAATATTTTAACCGGTTCCTGGACCTCCCCTAGGTCGACTCAGACTTAAATGATCACATTACCTGGTGCGGTGTGTAAACATCGCCACTGGGGAGACATACGCAGCCGTGTGCGGTGTTAGGCATCATCACCACTCCCTCTTAAGCCGTGTGGGCCTTCATGGGTGCTCGCTAACAGCCCTTTGCCCCAGCAGACTATAACGGGCTATAGGGGAGGTTTATGTCTTTGTCTTTGTGCATGTGCCAGCGATGTTGGAATGTCTGTGTGCGCCGCTATGCGTGTGCATGCGTGTTGCCATGTATGCGTTACTGATCTGCTTGTGGTACAAAGACAAAGGTCTCCCTGATAGCCTTTAACAGACTATTGGGGCAAGTGCTCTTAGCGAGCACCTATGAAGGCTGGCACGGCACACGAGGGGGTGGGTTGCCAACACCGCGCCCGTCCGTCTTTGTCTCCCTTGTGGAAGTTTTTTTTTTTTAAGTCGACCTAGGGGATGTCCCAGGGCTGGTGTTGGCCGGGTTCGTAGCGCAGCGCGCTAACCACTGCACTACCGCTCCCCACCCACCAACCTTCACACCAAAGGGGGGATCCCTTAACGGACTGTTGGGGCAAGCAACCAAAACGTCGCACCCCGAGGGGGTTGGGGTACCTAGCACCACGAACCCACGGCCCCTCCCGCCCGCCTTTGTCTCCCCCAGTGCCGATGTTTTACACGCCGCACAAGACGATTCTTGGCCAGGTGAGCGTATTCGTCACCGATTCTTGGCCAGGTGAGCGCGGGGAAGCGAACTCGGGTTCGTCAGCGCCACATTCGCCCAGCCTGCGAGACGAGACGAGCGTGCCCACAGACATTGCCCCGTGTCGCCGCGTCCGTGATTGAAGACTCTGGCTCATCCACTCTGCCTGATAGCCAGGGAATGTTTCGCTCGACTCGCACCGCGGGGGAAGGGG